CACTGGGCAGGATGACGACGTGAGGATGGACACTGGGCAGGATGACGTGAGGATGAACACTGGGCAGGACGACGTGAGGATGGACACTGGGCAGGATGACGACATGAGGGTGGACACTGGGCAGGATGACGACATGAGGGTGGACACTGGGTAGGATGACGACATGAAGATGGACACTGGGTAAAGTGATTTGAGGATGGAAACTGGACATGGTACCAGTCTGAAGATGGACATTGATCATGGTGAGGACGTGAAGGTGGACAGTGGATACATACACAGGATGGACTCAGTAAGGATGAGAGGTAAGAATTCAGAGGTACATCTGCGTAAACTTAATGGTTAAAAAAAAATGTGACCATGTGGTCGCTGGTATTTTCTCTGTGATAGGTCAGCATGGTTGCAAGTGGAACTCTGTGTTTATAACTTTTCTGTAAGTCTGAAACTCTGAAATAGTTTTATATTTACAGAGAAGATTTTAAACACTAGAGTAATGGCTTCACTCTCACGGTAGGGTCAGAGTCAGGAGACAGGATACGTCTGAGAACATCAAAGGTCAGCTTGGCCGGCTACAGTTTTCCCCAAGCATCTGGGAGAGGCCCTGGGACTGGGTCCTGATGAGGCTTCTGAGCTACGAGACACGTAGCAGAAGGCGGAGGCTCGGTGCCTCTCACCCCATAAAACTTGGGTTGTTAACCACAATCTGGGTGTTCTGAACTGAAAACTCATAAAACCCAGGGACTAAAAGCCCAAGACTGGGGACATGACAGAGAGTTCTCCACAGAGGATCATTGTCCCAGGGCTGGCCTGGTTCCTTAGAAAGTCCTTCTGCTGGTCATGGATCCTGGATGGCTGGCGTCAGAGCAGTACCCTGGGCTAGGTTTATCCTCTGTTTCCTTTGTCTAATCCCAGAGTGGATGAATGGTGGCTGGCGAGTCTCAAGAGAACAAAAATTAAGATTGTCTGGAGTGGCTAGTAGCTCTGAGCCTGGGAAGCTGCTTAGAGGCAAGACTTCCCAGCCTCAAGCCCGCTGTGTTTACTTAGGTCTCTATTTGCAAAACACAGCAGGGCAGGGCCTTTGTGCTCTGAGCTGACAAAAAACATAGTCACACTTTAAGCATAAGGCACACACGTGCTGGCTTGCTCTTGCGGACAGACAAGGCCTAGGAGCTGCAGCCCCAAACCTCCCTCTCCATACCAGGAGGCAGCAATGTCCCCATCGGCCTGTGTTTCCGGGTAGCTCATAATTCCTCACACTGGCTTTCCTGGAAGTTCTCAGAACGGGAGTGCTGGACTCCCCAGTGAAGTGTGTGAATTCTGGGTACACCGGGAGGTCCCCCTGTGTGTCCAGCTCCATGTGAGCTCTGTGGTGACGGGCAGAGCCAGGGCAGGCAGAAGGACCAGCTAGGCTGGAAGGCAGCCCATGGAAACATGTCTCTGTGATTTCTCCACAGCAGGAGGGCGGTGCACAGCTGCTCAGTTAACCATCGGGGCACAGCAACCCGCTTAGAGGTTCTGAGGCCAAGCTGATCAAGGCCCATAGCTCAGCCCAGTAGCCCATCATGGACTTGGGTCTCAGTTCCATAATACCCCGGAACATAATACTTCCTCAGCTCCAGCTCCCTGTCCTCCATTCTACCTAGGCTTTTCCTTCCCAGTTTCCTGAAGCTTTCTGCCTCCATTCTGATTCCACCTTCTAAGACTGCAGCATGGATTCTGTCTTTTGGGACCTCTTGGGCAGTAGCCGCTCCTCCTAAAGCCTCCTGGCTCCTCCTCCTGTGACTGGTCTGTATACCCGGACACATTGTTTTATGAACTGCCATTCCCTCAGATCAATAGCTCTGTTCTTACAGCAAAGTCTAGAGTTGGGGGAGAATGCCAAAATGATGGCTCTGTCCCACTACCGTTCTCCATCTTTAAAACTACTTGTTTGTAGTTTCTTTAACTCATCCCTTTTGGGTTTGTCAGTGGGCATCTGCTGTAAAACAAGCCTTCAAAGGCATTGCCCTAGACTCCATGAAATACATTTGAAAGACAAGTAGCTACTGTGCTTCAATGACCTTCACATGACTTTATTTGCAGTGACAAGTAGAAAAATCGGTGTCCTGTCCCCCATTATTTTGAACTCATAGAGATGAAGACATAAAGTTGAAAGACAGCTTCCCTGTTTCCTGTTTAACACCACAGAGCTAATGAGAGCACATGAGGAGCCAGGACCTGGGAATGCTTCTGAACCCCCATGCCCTCTGATCCCCTGGGTTTCTTGTAAAGCTTCCAGTTGCTGAGTTTGCAAACTTAGGTCCTTGCTGTCCTCTGATTGCAGGTGTCTGTGTTAGTATCAGTAGGCAATGGCTGCCAGCCCGAGTTTGGTTTGCTTGATCCCCTGTTCTCCCCATTTCCCACCTCCTCTACCAACATGTAAGGCAGGAGCCAGATAGAGCCTGTGTCACATTTTCCTCTCCAGCGGTGGCCTGCCTGGCTCTGTTACCACTTTTCTGTGAACGGAGCTGTAATAGCTCAAACACAAACCAGAGAACTAGCGCTCCCAGCCACAGGCACGATCCCTTTTCCCCAGGCGTTCTCCACCGTGTTACACCCCCGTGCTCACAGGGATTTCTCAATCCCCGGGGCGCCTCCCTCCTTCTCCTTTCTGTTTAATTTCTTTGGGGAAGTCGTGCCCTTCTGCACAGTTCATTGGCTCATGTGACAGCAGGTGATACTCTGCCTGCCTTGTGCTATCTGTAAACATTAATGATGACTAATCAATGAAGAGGAATGGGCCTGATGGCTGGAGGACTTTTTGTTGTTGTTGTTGTTAAAATAAAATCAGACATACAAGCTACCAACAGATAAATAGAGGCTGGGAATAGAGCTTAGTTGGTAAAACGCATGAAATTCTGGGTTCAGTCCCCAGCACCACACAAAGCAGTTGGGAGGTAGTTCTGGGAGAAACACAAGTTCGAGGTCATCCTCAGATACCTGGGGAGTTTAAGGTCAGCCTGGGCTGTCTGAGACTCTATTTAAAACAGATAGACAGACAGACAAACAGACAGAAGGGTTGGGGACATAGCTCAGTTGGTAAATTGCTTGCCCCAATTCCTAGCCACCACATAAAAAGTCAAGCATGTCAGTAAATGCTTATAACCCCGGCACTAGGGAGGCAGAGGCAGGCAGCTCCTTGGGACTCACTGGCCAGCCAGCCTAGCTAAACTAGAAAGCTCCAGCCCCGTGGGAGGCTATCTCAAAAGACAAGTGCATGGTTCCTGAGGATAACACAAGCTGACCGTGGTCTTCATACTCAGACATGTATACCCACACATATGCACTCTTAACACCCTCCCACAAAACTTCATATCTCTCTCTCTCTCTCTCTGTCTCTCTCTCTCTCTCTCTCTCTCTCTCTCTCACACACACACACACACACACACACACACCCCAAAAAGAAGAAGAAAGAAATAGGAAAATAGTTAATCAATTTAATGGTGTTTATGGGTCAACTAAAATTTTGTTGACTGCATATAGACTTGTTATTTAGAGCATGGTACTAAACGCTAGCTGGCAACTTTGCCTTTGTGGACCGGGCATCCACACTACCCTCGCCACGTGCTCCCCTCGCTTGTCTTACAAGACCTTTAAATGGATACACCACTGCCTGCATTTTACAGATGAGATTTACAAAGTATAAAGTCACCCCAAGTTAGTGAGGGGCAGAGCCAGCACCCCCAGCAGCACCCCAACTTGAGCTGCACAGCGAGCCACTTTCTCCTAGCCTGATTCCCCATAGCTTGGGATGTGTGAACAGAGGAATGGGCTCTTGGCACAAGACCTGCCTGACGTTGTCACATGAACTCTGAGATGTAGACCTTTGGTGAGTGTGGCAGCCCGCTTGTGGTGCGGTCTAGATGCCCTGCTTGGCTTCTGTTGTGGGAGGGGTGGGACCACCGGGCTCTTCAGTGCCTGCTAAGGCAGTGAGGTCAATAACAGCCTGGGCGGCCATCATTCCCTGCCTCTTGTCAGAGAGAGTATGCTTCTGATGGTACTATTTTGGTTTGTGCTCGCCAGCATTTCCAAGTTATTGGCTGCAGCTCCACACACGGGATCTACAAGGTAAGAAAAACCAAAACCAGAATCCGAAGGAACTAGTTGAGTTAGAGAGCTCCCCCCTGTCATTTGCTGGGTCTGAGTTATTAGGCCATCGGCTGCCTTCTCTCTGTCTTCTCGTCTTCTTGGTCTCCAGCTATGTGTGACCTCAGGGCATCCACAGACATTCATACTGAATTAAATGTCAGTGGGTCTCCTTGTGTGAATATGTACATGGGAGCTTTTTCTTTGGAATAGAGAAAGAATGAGAATTACTCTTGGAAACCTGTAAACAGCATTAGGACAAAAGGGACACTACAAAGCCCGAGGGTAGACTACGGACTGATGGTGGGAACAGCCGCGCGCCCGGTAGAATATACTCAGCACAGCAACGTTTATGTTTGGTGCTTAGCTTCTGTTTGTTTGGCTTTGAGACAAGGTCTGATTATGGAGCCTAAGCTGACCTCAAACCACAGTAATCCTCCTGGCTCAGCTTCTCAAGTGCTGGGATCACAGGTATGTCTACCAGGCAGATATTTACATTCAACCCACCACTCTCCCCAATTTTCACAAAGCGAATGGACTAAAAGTGACTCTTCCCTGACACTTCTATTTTTCAGGGTCCCACTTGTTGGCTAACTGTGATTCTTTTTCTGTCGATTTCCGGAACAGACATGTTCTTCCCTGGGACACTGAGCAGCCGGTCCGCCTGTCCAGCCTCTTCTCTGGGTCAGCTTCCCTGTCGAGGACTAGCCATACTGAGGTGAAGATATGAGTGTCTTTCCCTGTCTGTCCTTCTGTGGAACAAGGCAACTCTTCATGCCAAGCTCAGCTTTCGGTGACCCTTTCCACCAAAGTGCTCACCCAGTGTTTTCATGCAAATGCCCAGTTAGCCTGGTGACGGTGAACTGATGGACGCAGCTGTGTGCCCTCTGGAGCAAAGCCTCTCCTCCTTCTGCGGCTGCCTCTCCTCCTGTCGAACATATTTTATTTTTATTGGCCAGGGCTTTGGAGAACTCAGAAGTCGGAGAGTGCTCCTAGGAGAATTCAGTGGAATTTTCTACACCACCTGGCCGGGTTTTGTCACCTGACGGAGTAGGCTAACATTTTCTTGCCAAGCCTGTGAAGTCATTTGTTTGACTCTGTTGTCGTAAGTTATTCATTAGCAAGCAGGAGGAAAACATCCCAAGCAGTAAGGCTACTCCGGCTCTTGCTACTGTTTCTGGCCCCCTCCCTGGCCAAGTTCTCACTCTTGCTGCCGGGACTCTGATCTTGCATGGCTGCACACCCTGCATCTGTGGGTGTGCGCTCGGCAGCCTGCCCACCATCCTTATCTCATACTCAGGACAGTGTAGGGGAGCCCAGAGCCAGGGGCCCAGCTCCATCTCTCCTTTCCCTCTTTGTAGGTGGAGGTCCCAGGAGCACCTTCCACCTGGCTCTATTCCTCCTCCCCCTGGGCTATGAGCTATCAGGACCCGGGTGCTCCATCTTCTGTTCCCAGAATCTTTCACAGCCCAGAGCAACACCAAATAGGTTTTTGCTCAAAGAGTAGAACCAGGCAAACCAGCTAATTCACTTTTTCTCTTCCAGCTTCTGATTGGGTCAGGCCTCCTGAGCTGTTTTCAAAAACAAGGCTTTTAGAGGAGAGGCATCTGGAGAGCAGGGAATCACACATGCAAAACGCAGGCCTGGATGTCTATGCTCCAGACCCCAGGGCTCTCACTTTACCTGCCGCTGCTACTATAGCCTGTGCTGCTCCCCATTCATTCAGGAGAGGGTCCCCAAGTCACATATACGGTTAAAACAGGCTCCATCTAGAAGAAAGCAAATCGTACCTTAGTAAACTCTTCTAAATGCTAGGAATGATTCTCAAGTATACCCAGCCTAGAACCTGAGGTTGGTGTTTTCAGTTAGAATGATATGAGTTGATACGACTTTACTAGCTTATGTACCATGCTCCCCAGATTCAAATGGCAGGATGTTGTCCCTGCCTTTTCACAGCCTGGAGCATCATGACCTGTCTTATGTTGGGAGAGGAGCTCAAACGAACGGTCCCGATGATCCTTGCTTGAATGAGACAGTCCTAAGACATTACTCAGTTTAACACGGTCACCGCTCGGACTCCCACAAATAACTGGAGATAGACAAGAGAAAAGAAAGCAGAGAGAATCAACATTTACCCCCTGTTCTGAGAGCAATGCTGTACCCAGAAACAAATGCAAGGTAACACCCACAGGGCAGAACAGCACACACAACCCAGCCATACTCAGGGACCCAGGTGCTAATGTCCTTGGCTGGAGTCACTGAAACACTCCTTTGTGGGCTGGAGTCTCAGCTGCTAAGACCACACACTGCTCTTGCAGAGGACCTGGTTTCACTTCCCAGCTCCCACAGGGCAGCTCACAACCACATACAGTTCCCGTTGCAGGGGACCCAGAATCCTTTGCTGGCCTTTGTGGGGGACTGCATGCACACTCATGGCGCACTGATACATACAGGCAAAACATCATATACATAAGTTAAAGTGTTCCTTCGTATGAATGGAAACCCTACAATGTAGATAGTCCTACCCTGGAGGGGCTTCACCCTGTCAAGAGGCCAGAGAACTTGCTGGTAAAGGCATCTTCTGTCCTGATGAGGACCCTCAAGAGTTTCAGTCATTAGGAAGGGAACTTCCTGAGAGATTCATGATGGAAAGGCGATGAAGTCACACACTAATAATTCAGTGCCTTTGTCTGAAGATGTTTAACAAGGCTCGGTCATGCAGAGGGCTGCAGAACACCCACGGCTCTTGCGGAAGCCTGACTCTGAGCCTGGCCGGCGCAGACACTGTGTCAGGAGATGTACCTCGCAGAATGACAAGCCTGGGGTGAGAAAGGAAACAAAATAAAACAGAAAAGTAACAAAACCAGCAAGTTCACTGGCAGCAGAATGTTTGATTATCAGAAATAGGGCTAATTACCACTTTATCTGTGGCAGCCATGAAATCGCAGAACCGCACTAAGCCGCTGTGAGCGTTTGAGCCCTGGGTGGATTAGAATATTCACCAACTGTATCCCTGTAAATCTTATCTGCTCGAGTGCTAAATAAAATCCATAGGGGAAAAAATCCTGGAAAATCAATCAATCAATCAGTCATCTACTGAACTGTAACAACTTGTAGACTGTGGGTGGTTTTGCCTTCCTAACATGCTATCTCCCGTCCCCCACCCCCGCTTAAGGCAGAGTCTTGTGTAGCCCAGGCTAGCCTCATACTCACTATGGAGTCAAGCCTGGCCTTGATGTCATCTTCTTGCCTCCAGCTCACAGATGCTGGAATTTACAGGCAGGGGTCACCACTCCCCCTTGCCTTGATGTTTTAACGACAACAGAACTAGGTAGAGGTGGAGACAGGAGGATCAGGCCTTCAGAGTCATCCTTTACTGAGGCCAGCTCGGGCTACATGAGAATTGATCTTGTTTTAAAGAGAACAATAATAAGCAGGTAAATGAGCCTAGCAGTAGATAGCATACAGAGTTTTAAAAAGCTTTTAACAATGGAATGTCAAAAAAAATGAAGGAAAATTCACTGTTTTTCCATAAGTAGCGTACTATCGTTAAAATCCCTCCACCAGGTAACAAATTCTGGCGAGCCGGACTGCAAATGTACACCATTTAAATTCGAGCAAACATCATCTAATTATCGCTAGGACTTTTTCCTAGCTGTCAGCTGTCAGCATGCAATTCTTCCTGTCTCCCAAACTCCTGCTTCCATGTGTCTCCTTCTAGGCTAAATAATTATAAGAATCTTCCCAGCCTCCTCTTCCTTTTATGCGTTTTCATCGCAGTAAAAGGTGTATAGCAAGGTGCAGCACTGTAACCGTAGAGACGACGGTTGAGCGGCTTTAAGCTTCTTCATATCCTTGTGCAACCGTCACCACCCTCCTCCTCCAGTGTTTGTTTGTTTGTTTGGTCCATTGATTTTTACCTATCTATTTATTTCTTTTTGAGACAGGTCCTCATGTTGTAGTTTGGGCTGGCCTTGAACTCATGGCAACTCTGCCTCAGACTCCTGAGTGTTAGGGTGGGAGGCGCAAGACACCACAGGGCTCTCTAGAGCTTTTGCTTCTTCCCAAACTGCAATTCCACCTCCTTTAAACGCCCCAGCAGTGACCGCTTTCTGCATCTCAGACAGACTGCGCGAACGTCTCATGCAAGGAGGAGTCATATGGTTTTTATCTTTCTGTGACTGGCTTGTTTCCCACAGGCTGAAACACTTGCCAGAATTTCCTTTCTTTGAAAGGCAGAGTCCACTGTGTGAGCACACCACATTGCTATCTGGTCACCCTTTGCCAGACCTTTGGATGGCCTATTGTAAATACTGCTCTGGTGACGGGAAGTCTCCCCCTGGTCCCTGCTCTTTAGCATGTATACCCAAGCAGAGCAACAGCTGGGTCCTGGTGGTTCTATTTCCAGTTTGCAGGGGGTCTACCATGCTGTCTTCCTTAGCAGCTGGACCATTTTACCTATCAGCAGAGAACACGATTTCCCTTCTTCAGATCCTCCCCGCTTTTTCCAGGTCTTCTTGGAGGATGCTGCCATGCAGGGAACCTGTCCTTGCCTAGCAGCAGGTCAGAAGCCAATATTCCCACAGGGCCGTCCTGATTGTAAAAAGGAGAGGAGATCCCAAAGGTGCCACAGAAAGCAGTGACCCAATCTGCCAGCCTACCAAATGGTCCAAGTCTCTGATTCAGTTCCTAATCCCGAGAACTTGACCCAGCCCCATGGACCTCCATGGACCCCCATGGACCCACAGGCTTGGGCCTCGAATAAAGATGCAGGCTTACACATGACTCTCAAACTTTGGTTGGATGGCCAGCAACCAAGCCAAGGCGCAATGGCTCCCCGGTAGGCATGTCCATACTGGTAGAAGACTGGATCCACTCACATGGTTCCTAATGCTGCTGGGTAGCGTTCCATGTCCTTAGGATAGCTTCAAACCAGACATATCTTCTGTCTCTTCTATGGAACGGAAAAGCCACTTCACTGGCTCCCGATGTTCCTTCCAGCTCGGAAGCCATGATTCAACAGCCTGACCTAAACTAGGTTTCATGCAAATGTCTTCTCTCGGGCTGGCTGTCCCCACCCCCAAAGCAGAAACTCGAGGCAAGACAGAGACACTTTGTTCTCTCTGCTGAGTCTCCTCCTCATTGTTCTTCCAAGCCTGACCCCTGCAGAGCCATCATAAACCTTTCCACGTGCCAGTCTGTGCTGCAGACTTCATATGCGCGCGGCAGCTTTGTTTCCGTCAGGTACCACAGGCTTCTTAGCACAAGGCATTGTTATCTTCATTTTATGGAGAAGGACGCACACCCGCACGAGCGAGAGGACCCCTGAAGCCAGAGGGGGCAGGTCCCATCCATAGGGGCACTCTGGGCCTAAGAGCAGCAACGGCATTCTGCAGCCTGTCTTGCGTTCCCTTCGTGCAGCGCACACCTGCACACGCAGGTGACAGGGCAAGGACCCAACTTAATCAAAACCTCATGTGCAATGGGGCTCTGACGTCGTTCAGTCTAACTGGCGACGTCGCGCATTTGTGTTTACGTTGACACTGTGCATTTGTGTTTGTGGTAAAGTTTAGAATTACAGCAGAGGCAGAGGCTGTGTTGATTTAGTTGCGGACCCCAGAACGGCGCTAAGTCAATCATCAAAAGAAAGCAAGCAACAAGAAAGAGGCAGTCAGCCAAGGAAATATAAACTACCAAGGAAAGAGGGTCTTGGAGTCCTGGAAATGGATAACATCAAGAAAAAGTAAAGACAGGGGGCCTGAGCTCAGCAAGTAAATTACCCTTTTATTGTTCCAGGGAAAGGCTGCTCTTTCTAGGAAGATGCACGAAGGAGCCCCGGGGAATGTGGAGGCCCGGTCGGGTCACCAGCGTTTTAACAACCCACAGTGTCCACTGGGCTCTTTCCTCTCATTTACAGAAACAGCAGCTGAAATAAGGCTGTCCTGATCCCTGGGACATCCCTTGCAGCTGACTTGTATTGGGCCTATGGCCTGCTGGGATGGTAAGGAAAGAAAGGTCAAGCACCTTGTGGTCACAAAACTGGTCACCCCAGGGCACGAAAACCACCCACACTTAGCTTTGTTCACATGACTGTGGGGGACCCGGGCAGGACCCTGGCAGCTGCAGGGATGAAAGTGCAGCTTGAAGGACATATAGGGGAGAGGAGAGGGGGTTATGGGGCACCCACATAGGGCTGCAACCTGTGGCTGCTCAGCCTGCACTTCCGGAGCAGCTTGTATAGACCGGGTACGGAGTTGCACCACTGCACCTCCCCAATCCTCTACCCTCCCCTCACCCCAAATCTTGTATTTAGGCTCCAAAGCAGAGTGTGATCTTTGCTTTGCTCACATGCGTGTTGACATGTCTGTCAGAGGAAGGCCAAGACAGGTCCGTGTCCTACCACTCCCAGGGTGCCAGTGGGCTGAGCTGAATGGAGGAGGGTGCAACACCATTTGATTGTAAAGGGCTTTGCAATGGGCACAGCAGGACATACCTATAATTGCGGCACTTGGGAGAGAGAGATAGGAGGATCAGGATTTCTTTCACTTTGTTTTTAAATTTTTTATTTAAAAGTTTTTTTTCACATACCAATCACAGTTCTCCCTCCCTCCTTTCTTCCCACTCCCCCACAACCATTCTCCCTCCCCCAAACCCCAATCTACTTCTCAGAAAGGGTAAGGACTCTTATGGGGAGTCTACAAAGTCTGGCATGTCAAGCTGAGGCACGACCCCTGTATCACGGCTAAGCAAGGTATCTCTCCATAGGGAAATGGGCTCCATAAAGCTCGGTACAATGCTTAACTGTGGATCTCTGCATCTGCTTCCATCAGTTACTGGATGAAGACTCTCTGATGACAATTAGGGTGGTCATCAGTCTAATTACAGGGGAAGGTCAGTTCAGGCTCCCTCTCCACTATTGCTAGGAATCTTAGCTGGGTCATCCTTAAGAATTCCTAGGAATTTCCCCAGCACCAGGTTTCTCCCTAGCCCTATAATGGCTCCTTCTAACAAGATATCTCTTTCCTTGCTCTCCCTCTCTTTCCCTCCCCCAACTCAACCATCCTGTTCCCTCATGTTCTCCCCAACACGCACCCCTCCTTTCCCCCTGCTCCCCTCCCAATTTACTCAGGAGCTCTTATCTAATTCCCCTTCCCAGGGGCACCCAAGCATGTCTCTCTTAGGGTCCTCCTTGTTACCTAGATTCTCAGGGGTTGTAGATTGTGGCTTGGTTATCCTTTGTTTTATGTCTACTATCCACTTATGAGCAAGTGCATAGCATCCTTGTCTTTCTGGGTCTGGGGCACCACACTCGAGATTTTTTTTTCTAGTTCCACCCATTTTCCTGCAAATTTCAAGATGTCATTTTTTTTTTTTTTTTTTTTTTTACCACGGAGATGTGTAGATGTACCACATTTTCTTTCTCCATTCTTTGGGTGAGGGCATCTAGGTTGTTTCCAGGTTCTGGCTATTACTATGAACATAGTTGAGCAGGTGTCCTTGTGGTATGAATGTGCAGAGGGTCAGGACTTCAAAGCCAGGCCAACTTCAGCTACATATTAAGTTCAGAGTTAGCCTGAACTTTGTGAGATCTTGACTCAAAAGAGTGAAGATAAGTGTGCTCTGTCTCTGCAGAGGACTGTGTTTGGCAGAGCTCTGTGTCTGAGGACAATTCGTGAAGGGAAGGGATGTCCGCAGTGGCCAAGGTCAGCGCATCACCCCAGCAAGAGGGCCATGTCATGCTCAGCAAACACTGAGCAGCATTGACAGACAGAGGCAGAAGGGAGCTGCTGCCCGAAATGCACGACAGCTCCCCGCTGCAGAGAACATGCACTCTGTCACTCTCTCTCCCTAGAAGGCTGGAAATCAAACTGTGGCTGTAATCACCTGAGTTTACCCTAACCTGGCAATAGAGAGCTGTTTGATGGGAACAAGGAGGCAAATTGCCCAAAAAAGGACCTTGATGTATACAGATGTACATCAAACACACTTCAAAGGGTTCTGCCACATGGACACGAGGGCTGGACATGAGGAGACTCAGAGGTCGCTGTGGTGATGCCTGAGTAGGCTGTAGATCTGAATAGAGTTAAATACATGGTCAGTCTTCATGACTGGCAAGATCTGGGTTGGCAAATTCAGAAAGCACCGAAACTTATCTATAAGCCAAAAGTCAATGTTCATATACTCTCATGGTCACTCAGAGCACAGCCCAGTGAGCGTTGTCTCCTTTGATGCACAGGCTCCCAGCCGAGGCAGGGCAGTGGTGACCTGCCCTCTGGTTCAGCTCTCAAACTTTTGCAGGCTACATAGCAACAGTTTTTCTTCCCTCCCTAGCAATTGTTATGCTTTTGCTCCATGGGTTGCTGTCGTAAATGCCTCCTCCAAACACAGAACGCTAAGTTCTGTGGGACTCTTAATAAGCATGTCTTGTGTCAGGTGAGCTTCCCCCAGCCATGCGTTACAGCACAGTCTGAAGCTAATGGACCAACAATGTCCGTTGTCTTAAACAGAAGGGAGAGCACAGCTGGGTCACAGAAAGATGGGTTGGTAACAAAATGTGACTATTTGCTCACAGGAATTTATCTCTGGGTCTCCCCTGAGGAGTAAGGGTGTCATCTTCACTAATTTGGTGTTCATGGCAACTTAACAGACCCTATCTGTTAGGGGGAATGAAAACTGGCTGTGCATTGCAGCCCGGACTATGGTTTGAACCATGCAGAGTGGATGGTGGAATCGTTGACGGTTCGGGGCCCACAGTGGGGAAGACAAGATTGTCAAGCAGTAGGCTTGACAAAATCCTTGCATTACCCCTACTCCTAGAACTCTAAGGCCTTGTCTTGTTGCCATGAGTACCTTCTTGGCTATTCGCATAAGTCTATGTTTCCCCGGGCATCGCCCAGACCAAACCTTCCGAGGCATTTCATTTGGCCATGGACCTAATACCAATACTCCCCTATACCTTCCACCTCGGAGCCCCCCACTCTAACCCTTCAGACTCAAAAGGACGCAGTGGGACACCCTCAGCTGAGTGGGAGAATTGTAAAAAGGCTTTTGTAATGAGCTTGGAGTTCATTGATAAGAGAGACGGCACTCACTGTTCAGAGGACTTTGAGCACAAAGGCAGGTTTCTCCCAAACAGGCCGGTCTCCAGGAAGTCACCTCAGCTGAATTCCAGGAAGATGGGGCAAAGGGAAGTGAGCACGGATTTGAAACATTAAGGAGAAAGGGCAAGAGAGGTAAAGGAAGAGAAAGAAAGAAAAGAATAAGAAACTTCTAAGAAGAATCAACATCCCTTGTGGGGAGGGATGGGGTGACTTTGTCGTGGACCTAAGGGTACCTGACCCATTCTGGGATCCTTGCACTATGATAAAACTGAGCAGGGGTTGGAAAATGTGGCGGACCGACCAAACCCGCCCTCCTTTTGTTTGTGTTGTGTAGATCAACTAAGAATCTTTTTATATTTTGAGGTTTTGATCCTGAATACACACACACACACACACACACACACACACAATATTTACATGTATGGGGGTTTTGTCTGCATGTGTGTCTGTGCACCATGTGGAGGCCAGAAGAGAGCACTGGATCCTCTGGGACTGGAGTTAAAGACAGTCGTGAGTCTGTCCGTGTGAAAGCTGGCAAGCAAACCCAGGTCCTCTTAAACTGTAGCCAGCGTTCCTACCACTGAGCCATCTCTCCAGCCTGAGATTCTCATCATATGGCTGATAGTGGAGACCCTTTTCTGGGCAGAGACTGGAGCTGTGTAACTTCTTTCTAGCCTTCGCTGGGGTGAGGGGTGGGCTTGTTGGGGCCCCTGACCCACTCCAGGCTGGCAACTGTCATTTATCAGCCGGAATCCTCCAGGCAGACTCCTACGCTGCGTATGAGACATTGCCTGGTGATAGCTGAGTCAGTGTCTCTGCTGTCACCAACCAGCTGACTGAGGTCCTTCCGTTCCACCCAGGTGGAAATCATGAGCAGGAGAGGGGAAACTCTTTGGTGCTGGAAGTCCCCAGCCCTTGTGTGTCTGAGGACAAAGGGCTGGACCGGCAGACCTGACCTACAGCTTCAAGGCGTGAAAGCCAGGGCCTAAATCCTAGGACTTAGAAGCTAGAGACTTACAGCTCTGAAAACTTGGGTTAGCAACTTTCTGCTCTGGGCTTTAACCAAGAGTGATGCGGGTGCTTAGTGGCTGCAGACAACACCTGCTATGTTTGCAGAGGGAGACTCGTGGCCTGTAACATTGGCTGGGTAGAGACACTGGGAAGACACCTGGTGAGTCCAGGCCACATGGGCGTAGGAAGCAGGCTTGCCATGGCCCTCCTGCCTGCTGGGCTCCAGGTCACCCATTTCAGGGCCTATGTGTAAGCATGTTACTCAATTTTTTTGTGACTCAGATTTTCAACAGGTGTGTGTGTATGAGAGAGAAAGACTTGGGGCCATTTTTATATCCTAGGCAAATGCTCTACCATCAAAGCCCTCAAACCATTTTGAGTTCGTATCTTCTCCCTCTCCACTCAGTGCCTCTGTCTGAGTGTGAGGCACAAAAAAGCCTAGTCTTCCAAAGCAGTTCAGAGTTAAGAAACCATTTCTGTCTCCTCCCATAACCCTAGCAGACACACTCAAACCCACCGTTAAGGTGGACTAGCTCAGTATCCTTTAGATGATGAAACTAACTGCTATTTCCTGCTCCTGTTAACCTGCGTGGTAGGCTTCTGTCCCTGCAATCCTAAGACACAACAAGGACTACCCAGCCCCAGTGGCATTTCCTATGTGAATCCTCACCCCATCCAGTTCTTGCTTTTACTAGTCCAAGTCTGGCTGCTTACTGCTTCCAGGCTAATCTAGTCAGGATACACGGTGCTGAGGGGCTGGAGAGATGGCAGTGGCTGCTCTTCCCGAGGATCTGAGTTCAATTCCTAGCACCCATATCTGGCAGCTCACGGCAGCCTGTACCTCCAGCTGCAGGAGATCCAACACCCTCTTCTAGCCTCTGCAGGTACCCACATGCATTGTGGTATGTACACACACACACACAAATAAGTATAAATAAATAAATAAAAATTTAAAATTAAGAAAAGGGAGAGGCAAGGTGTTGAGGAAGGAAGGTGGTTTTATTCAAAATCCAACTAGACTGGAATATGGAGGATTCCCAAGAGTCCATCTTGCCAGGAAGCTGATTTGGCGGTAGGGGTATTTTTATACAGGTGGTTGATAGGTATTCCCAGACTGGTGGGAGCCTTCTCTTAGGAAGGGAACCCTTTGATACCCATCTGATCCTATTCACCTCGTCTCAGGATGACTTCCAGTTCTGTGAACATCAAGAACAGAGATCGTTATTTCTTCGAACTGTTCCTGTCATTAACTTGTTTGCCCCCACACAGTTCCTGACACAGTGAACAGGCTGGAGGGCAACACTTCTCTGAAGCCGTCCAGCTGATTTCAAAATGGACAGCAAAGAAAGGAAACCAACCACCTGACCGTGGCGGCAGTCAAGGGTCAGGCGTTGTCACATAGGGCACTGGGCAGGAGATTTGGTCTCAAGGCTCATGTCACCACCTACAATTCCAGTGATGATGTTGTCTCTACTCTGGATCTTCTCATCTTGTTCTGGCCTCCTCCTCTAGGGAGGGAAATCCAGCACCAACCCGGTTGCCTGTGTCCTTGCCTGAGATAGGCTGAGTAATGGCCCCAAAGACACCCGGGGCCTAATTCTTACTTCCCATCGGGTTTTATCAAGGTGGCTGAGTTGAGGATCTTGAAGTAGTAGATTGTCTAGGATCTTTCAAAGGACCCCCCATGTCATCACTAGTGTCATAAAGAAAGATGGAAGGAGAGAGGATCATGGTGGAAGAGGAGGAGGTGACAAAGCCAAGGAGGAGTTTGGGGTGACACGGCCGTGCCAAGGAAACCAGAGGTCACCAAAGGTTGACAGAGGTGAGAGGACTTCTTCCCCCATCTTCTAAGCATGTGCAATTTGGTTCCAGTTGCCTATCTCCAGGGTTTTGAGAAGACGCAACACCCCCATTTGAGCATAGGAACTCAAATAATGGCCCAAACCCCTGTTCTCCATACCGTGAAGCCCTGGAGGTCTGTTAAACCTGGTTCCGAATCACAATGCGCATTCCATCGACAATGCGCATTCCATCGACAATGCGCATTCCATTGCTGTGTTTCTTGTCCCCAGCTTTACTCTCTGCCGGTGCTCAGGACTTGGAGGCCTCTTCCACCAGGGCTCTCCGTCAGTCAACCCCAAAGACCATCTGCCGCAGCTCCTGTCTGACCCAAGCATCTCTTCGAAGCTGTGTGCTCTGCTTCACCGACTTGGTGCATTTGGCTTCCAGCTCCCGCTGGAAGCAGCAATGAATTTTCACATCAAGTTAAGCCCAGCTCTACTGCTAAAGGTACAGCAAGAGAACTTTATGGATTGTTGACTGCCTGTACCTGCGACCCAGGCAGGCTCTTAAGTATTGTGATGCTTTACTGTTGACACAAAATTCATTCTGTGTGGCCACTGTGCACAGAGATATGCGTGTCTTATCCAGGGGTCCCCCGGAAGCGCCTTTTCCCATGGTGTTTCTTCCTAGCCCCACCCAACGTCCTGTGCCTCACTCCTCTGGCTTCATTCATCTCTCTGGCATGCTCAAAAGTCAATTTTCAGCATTTTTTTCTTTCCTACTTGCACTTTTCTGAGGACTGTCACTCCATTTTTCTTCCTGCCCTACCCCCACTTTCTCCCATCTACCCAGTGGAAGTATCTGTTTGGATGCCCCCCACACGCTTGGAGTCCAACATGTCAAACATGATTTTCTTCTCTTTGTTCCTGTCTATTAATCTTCCCATTAATCTGGACAAGCAGAGCCCCTGGGCAGGGCTCTGGAAGCCAAAGTAGGACACAAGGGAGGACAGTCAGAGAGAAGCAGCAGCTAAAGGCCTAGAAATGACGGGCATCTGGGGCAGTGTCCACAGGGACAGTGCCGAGAGACTTCTCTTTGGAGGAACCCAGCAGAGGCGCGGAGCCAGATGCCAGATACAAACAAGGTCCAGAAGAAGCAGTAGGCCCTCGTGAGTGTGGGAGACAGCGCAGAATGACATTCTGCAGAGACAGGCTCCAAGGTCATCTCAAGGGTGCTTAGGGACTCCTGTGGACATGTCTACTCCTGCGCCTCCTTCCCTGTTGGTCAACCATCCACCCAGAATCCTCAGACACGTTCTTGGACTTGCTTTGCCTTTAACAGGTCCTAGCAAGTGGGTTCTATTGAAGGCCATCCCCAACATCTTCAGTCCCATCCCATAACCTCCGAGGAAGGCCCTTTCCACAGTGTCTTCCCATACTGATCACACACAACACTAGCACTAGAACTCCAAAGTCACGAAATTGTCTAGCTCTTTCTATAGCAGCTAGGATGAAGTCTCCCAAGGACGCTCCAAGCTCTTTCCCGATGCTCTGGGGCCTATCTCCTTGTTTCTCCTTGTCTGGGGCCTGCAAGTGAGTGCTTTAAAAACATGACAGCTTCCTATAAACTTGCAGATTTCTGGTTCTTGGCTTGGAACCTGGCTACGAACACTCCAAGCGCTCATCACTTAAATAAATAGACTGTGAGTAAAAAGGCGGCAGGCAACTAAGTTCAGAAGGGAAAGAAGCGCGTTAGCTTCAGAGCCCACAGCTGCTGCCTCCCCAGCCCATGTGACCAACCACCTACTGAGGCACAGAAGCTCCATGCTATCCTGAAAGCAAGACCAGTCAGGAAATGAATGAGTCCTAGATGAACCCAAGGCTGGACCCTTTGGGGGATGCAGAGACAATTTGCAAGGGTGGGCGGGAAACACTCATGAGAGTACACACCTTGAGGAGATTCGTGCGTTTAACATGCTTTTAACATACAACGTTTAACATACATAGAAAGGAAAAGAGCTTGCTCAGCCACCCTTGCCCCTTTCCCTCTCTCAGTATCTGTGGGAAGGGGTTCCAGGACATCTCTCACTACACTGCTGGTGGAAACCAAGATCATGCCCTGCCTATAGAAACTAAGATCTGTGGATGTTCAAGTCTCTTAGGTAAAATGGCGCAGTATTGGCTTATAACCGATGCAAGTCCATTGTATTTTAAACCCTCTCTGCTTGACTAACAGTACCTAAGAGTACTGTCTGAGCAGATGTTACTGAGGGGATGGTGACGAGGAAAGGGTCTGTGTATGCTCTGCACAGATGCAATGGTGTCTGGAGCATTTTCCATCTATGGTTGGTTGAGCTGGCCCATGTAGAAATGCAGGGGCTATATATAAAGTACTTGAATGTTGCTGGGTGGGACTGGCAGATGTCACGACTGTGCGGAGCTATTGTTTCCCCTCCCTGACCCTGGGAACCTGAGGATCCCACAGTCCCTACCTGACTTCTCGCTCTATGTCACGAAGCTCAGCTAGGGTAGAAATCCCACAACAGGCTTCCACTTTAGTCCGACTCCTCTGCCCAGAGATTTTCCTGGAACTGCAATGCTTGGAGTGAAATAGAATCAGGCACCGGTAACATGCCAGCTTTAGGAGCAATTAAATGGCTTCATATCCTTATTGCTTATACTGACAATGCTAAAGAATAACTTGCTTTATTGATAAAATTCTCTTTGTTTAGTCCTAAGAATTATTTCTGCAAAATAACTTAAATTAATTCATTATCTAGATATCTGAATATTTTTTATATCGAATGTTGTGATATTGTTATTTCACCATCTTTGACAAACAGAAAATTTCACATGACCAATCCAGTATCTTCAGCCGCTGATGGAATCTCTGCATTGGGGCTGGTGGGGAGAAGCTTTAATCTGAAGCCTCAGGGGTGTGCCTCTGGGGAAGAGGCTGTCTTTCCTCTAGGGAAACAACTGACATTCTAGCTACGTGGACTGTCAGAGGCAAGGAAAACAGAGCAGCCAAAATTGCTTTACATAGAAGACAAATGGTCTATGGTCCTATGGTTTTAATTGAATTTCCCTGTTGTCTTAAACGGAGGAATTTTATTCCTTGTGGTAGGACAAGATGGTTTGGCCCAAGGGAGGCTGGACCGTAGAGCACAGAGAAGGCCTGGAGGCAGGCAACCCCAGTTTGCACATCCCACACTTGGTGCACAGCTAAATGGTACCTACACTGTTTCTGCACACCCAGCTTTGTAGAAGCCTATCAGACAGCACCTGGGAACCTTGGGATTGGGAGAGGAGATCAAGAGGGCTGAAGAGGTAGAGGACAGGGCTCAGGCCCAAGTTCAGGGCCAGGCATGATGTTCATACTCAGCAGATTCCTGATCTACTAAATCAGTGTGGGAGGGCCTTAGTCCTGACCACAGTGACTCTGAGGAGATCTCCTGATCTTGATGAGAATGAGATGGGCTCAGATGGGGAACGGGGATCTAAGGAAACCAAAACAGAGACAGAAAGCTAAGAGAGACAGGGAAAGTTGTGTGTGGGGATATCCAGCTCAATGCAGACTCCATTTTCACTGGTCTGAGATGAGGAGCAAGGTATGCTGTGGTCCTAAGGTTTAGGCAGGCAAGCCCTGGGAAAAACTCTTGTGTTGTGGCAGGATTCCCTGGCGAACAAGCCTCTCCAGTACTGCAACATGGGAAAGAACGGGCAGAGGCCTTCCTGGACGCTGATCCCTCTGGTCTTCGCATTGTACAAAGGATAGGAGAGCTCAAGGGGCTCTGAGGCCACAAGTAGAGCCCCAAGGCCAGGGAGGTAGAGGTACTAGCTCAGGAATGCATGGGGAATGAGCTGCCGGTTAGCTGAGCAGGTAGGGGAGAGTGTGGAAGTTCAGGCAGAGTGGACTCTCCCAGCCTTAAGACGCCCCTGCTACACCCTAGACCAGATATTAGTGAAGGCATCCAGCCCAGCTGCCTACGTTCCCTGTCTCCTTCCCACTATGAACAGAGGAAGAGGGAGACATGGAGCTCTTAGGATTATTCCCTCAGCTTTCCACCCTTGTCTCAGGAAAAGAAGAAAAAGCACCTCACTTCTGAGGCACAGGACCCTTGGGGATTTCTCTGGGCAGGACCTGGGCCTGGGTGATTTATGACACTTTGAAGATAGTAAGAATGTGATGCAGTAAGAATCCTGCTGCACTCTGGAAGGTGACAGCACAGATCTCACATGTACCATGCCCAGGGAACACACACACACTGCACACAGGTATTCATACAGCATGCATGGATTTACATATTATTGTGCTTACATTCCATACACACAGCACGAGCAGACACAGATTATACTTTCACACATCACACACTCATAGTCATCCTCAGAGTACATGCCCACACCACATCCATTTACACATACACCATAGTACATACCTTGTCCACACAGAATACCTGAAGAAGTTCTGAGATTGTGCCTATGGTTGGAACTTCTATGGCGGGTTTCAGCATGGAAGCCGACATCAGGGAAGAAAGTCGCTTACCTGACAGGGCCACTTGTGCAGAAGACAAGGCAGGCTTTCTGAGGAGAAAAGCATATTTTTGTTCTTGTAATGTGACCCTGCAATCTGGTAATTGCTTTCGGTTAATGGTGAAAACAGCCTCTGAAGACAGGGCCTTTTGAAGAGCCTGCTCGGCTGAGTTTCGCAGGACACTTAGGGTCGGTCCTGCACTGGGGGATGGGTGGCCATGTCCTGGTTAGGCTCAGCAGTGGATGTGCTGGAACCTTCCCATGCGGCCACTCCCCAGCAGACACTCAACAGTTGTGTGCCTAGGTCGTTTTCTGATGATATGCTGTCTCGGTGGCTCCATGTGCATCTGACCTGCTCTCCCCCACGGAAAGACCTCACGCTGTTCCGATTCCTCTCTCTCCCTTTATCACTTAGTTTCTCAAGCACTTTTGCTGCCACTTTTGGCTTGTCCTTTACAGTGGGCCGTCGTCCTGGGTACTCAGCAGTTCCTTGGACAACAACCATCTCTGTCTCTAATTAGTGTCCCCACGCAAGGAGCGAGTTTCTTGAAACACTCCACTTAAATACATTAATCTAGTAATGTATTTTCTCTAAGAGGTGTCATAGAGCCAAGTCATTGGCCCCAAGG